TATATATATATATATATATATATATATATATATATATATATATATATTAAAGAGATGTGTATGTGTGTGTGTGTGTGTGTGTGTTTAATTTTAGGGAGGCAAAATTCCAATCAGATGGACTGCCCCAGAAGCAATCGCTTTTCGGAAATTCACCTCTGCCAGTGATGTCTGGAGCTATGGAATTGTAATGTGGGAAGTTGTGTCTTACGGTGAGAGACCCTACTGGGAGATGACCAATCAGGATGTAAGTACAGAGATAGTCTTTTGCCTTCAAGTTGAGAATGGAACGCTTTGTTGGCTGAATGCAGGCTCCTTTAACTATTTTAAAATTGTGAAAATGACAGTTACTTGGAAAATACTAAATACTTTGTTTACCTTGTGGTGCATTTGTTGCTATGGAAGTAACTTTTATGGAAGAGGTAAAAGTTAGTTGGGGTAAAGGAAAGTTATAGGTTAGAAAAGAAAAAAAAAGCAAGTCCCTTGCTAAATAGTTTTAGCTATACAGCAGTCTACCCCATTTATGTCAGTATCATTCTCAAAGATGACGAAGAAACAATCATCTGAGAATGAATGCTGAAAGGAAAATCCTTGAAATATAAGATGTTATATTGTGATTTCAATTGGTAGGAAAAGTAAATATCCTTCTTATAATAAAACATATAATTAACGTCGAGAAATATATAATATTAACATGAAAGAAAACACCAAATGATTTTCTATCCAAATTCAAAAGCTTACAGTATGATGCAAGAGACAGAACTATAGACTTTGATCATTTCCATCATTAATATTCAGTACACTCTCTTGAAGTTTGGATCATATTGAAATTTGATATTTTTTCTCTTAAGATTTTAAAAGAAGATGGGATGTATTGATCCTCTAGAGCAGCAGTTCTCAAGCTGCGGGGTCAAACACTTTTAAAACCTGTGGGTTCTCAACTTCTTTGGTGTCACATGACCATTTCACAGGCATCGCATATCAGATATTATGCATGTCAAATATTTACATTATAACTCATAAGAGTAACAAAATTACAGTTATGAACTAACAAAGAAAATAATTTATGGTTTGGTTAACCATCACATTTGTAGATGTGTTAAAGTGTCACAGCATTAGGAAGGTTAAAAACGACTGCGCTATAGTGTCAGTAACCATTAACCAACTACTGTCTCACTGCTTGCTTGTAAATCAAATGTAATGAACAATCATAACTCTACAGTGTACTTACTTGAAGTTTTCTTTTTCCATTTAGTTCTTGTACCCTAAGGCTATAGCACTGCTTTCCTGTACATGCCATCAGGATACTATTAGTTTGCATCTCATTTTCTTTGTTTGCAGCCACAATATCACACAAGCAATTAACACTGTCCAGCCAAAACTACACCTCAGGTGCATTTCGGGGTATATGCCCCAACTGGTGAGCTATGGCAACCTAAGCTATGCAAATAATGAATAGACAGACATGGGCAAGTAGTGGTTCTTTTTTCCTCTAACCATATCCGTACATGGATTGATTAAGATTTTTTTTAAAATAGAGAAGCAGAAACCCCCTTGGATGATAAGCTGCATGGGCTACCTCTGAGCAGGATTTCTAGGTTATATCCATACATGGTCCTTAATTGAAGAAACAGTCTCAAAAAAGACCCCTGTGCTCAGATATATTTGTCCTTGTGGCGCTCCCGTTCTCTCCAGGTCTTACTAATTCCCCCTTCTTTCATATGAATCCCTGCACTCTGCCCAAGGTTTGGTTATGAGTCTCAGTATCTGCTTTGATACACTGCTAGGTAGAGTCTTTCAGAGGCCCCCTACGGTAGCCTCCTGTCCTGTTTTGTCATAACTTCTTTCCACTAGATTTACCTTGTATTGAGTCATCTATCCAGTTGTTTCATTAAAGGATAGAGCTACCACATGAACCTCTAGGACACAAAGCATATAGACAAAATCCTTACATTCACATTAAAAGCAAGGAATTTATTTAATTTATTCATTTCATAATGAAGTGTAAAGACTAGATCCTCAATGGATTAAAGTAAATTTAAATTTCACATATATTTTTGAGAATTTTATACATGAGAACTACTGTATTTGCATGGTTTACAGCCCTTTTCTTTTTGCTCTTCAACTCCTCCTGTGTCCCCACATACTCACTATCAAATCTATGATGCAGGTCAAATTTTGGGTCGAGGATTTTGAGTATGGGTTAATTGAGGGTAATTTTTTAATCTATTGTTTTTATTTTCTAATATACCTGTGCTTTTAGTACATCAGCTATACGATAGGTGTTGAAAATGTCTTTTGATTTCTGTTTTGTTTTTTTTTTTTAATAAATAGGTTAACTAAGGTAGAATGTTGCTGAGATCACTTGACTGCAGTGTTCCAGTTATTCTCCAGACGACTTTCATAGTCCTCGAGTACTTTTATCTTTTCTTTTTCTGCCTGTACTTTGAGCTTCTTAAACTGTTTTGTGTTATTTTGTTTGTTTGGTAGATAGCAACTAGAAAGGGTCAAGTTGTGACCTACTGCTTAGAATCCTAGCATTTGAATCTCCAAAGTATCCCCTGTACCAGTTAGATTCCTATCCATTGTCATCTGGATGTCCTCACTCACTTCAGACAAAAAGAAATCTCATATTAAACCTGATAATAGTTACTTCCTTCAAAAATGTGTTTTCTTCAAGATAACAGAACTCACCTTTCAGTGTAAAGAGCTTGAATGCACTTGATTTCTGACATCCTTTCCCTCTATTTTCTGGTCATATATGCTTTGTAAATGTACAGTTTCCTCTTTCCACCTGCCACCACATTTAATCATTTCATCTCCTTTATTGTGGAGAAGGTATTGGCTTTTATCTCCAGTCCTTAAAGGTCATCTTTGTAAAATGCCTTCGCTGATTTTATTTTACAGTTTGTTAAACAATGCATAAATTATTTGGGGAAACATTCAATTACATTTCTTAGAGGTGTATGTATAATAAATTTTTGGGATATGTATTCCTTTATAATATTTGTAAATATTTTATGATAGAAAAGATTATTGTATTGTTAGTAATACAAACATTTGTTTGTATTTTGATATTTTCATGTCTGCAGCAATGTTATAAATGTTTTTTAAATCTCCACAAATTGATGCTCATACATGTGTTTAAAATAAGTATCTATAATGCCTGTGCCAGTAGATACTCATTTCAAATTCCTGACAGAAATCCAATGATGGTAATAAACAGCCAGACTTTGACATTATTAAATGACATACAACACAGTTATGCTAATTTGGCCTCTGACTTATCCATCATTTAGCATCCAAAAGTCTGCTTTGAAATAAAATTGCCATCCTAGTACTTTGAAAATATGAATGTATATACTTCTTTATGAGAAAAGATATTATATTTTCAGATAAATTGCTAGAAAATATAATCATTATTTGATTCTAAAAGGCAAAATTAAATAAGACATGAATTATTTTATGACAATTAGTTTTATAAAGCATTCTCCACCAAGGATACAGGTAAAAATCATCAGAATTTATGCTTTTGTTTTATTTTGGTTTTCTTTTTGTTTTTGAGCTTTGTAACAGGGTCTTTCTACAGCGCTCTGGCTGTCCTGCAAGTTGCTGTGTAGACCAGGCTTGTCTCAAACTCACAGAAATCACCTGCCTCTGCCTCCCTCGTGCTTATATTAAAGGCGTTTGCCATTCTTTTGGCTAACCAGTTAGTTTTTCAACTTGTTCAAAAGGCCTATTTTTTAATGTTGTAATAGTACATTCCTATCTTTTGTCTTATTTCACAGCAAATATAAGTAGTTGTGGTTTATAAAAATAATAATTTGGGTTACTGGTAGGTGTTGTCCACCAGGTAGACATACCTGACAGGCATAGTTAAATTGCTCCTTAAAAGGACCAACCCGCCACTGTGTCTCTCTCTTGGCCTCTTGCCCTCTTACTGTCTTGCTCTCACCCCTTTCTCTGTCAGGGAGTCCCCTCCCTTCCCACTATCATATCTCGTTCTCTCCTCTCTCTCTCCATCTCCATCTAATAAACCTCTTTCATATAAAATCTGTTGTGTGCATCATCATTTCATTGGTCCTAACAGTTACTAAGACAAAGATAAGAATAACGTTGGAAGTTAGATGGAGGAATTTTTTCAGACTCTTCTATGCTGCGTTAGTGGTGTTGTGAACCTCATTCTCTTTTGCTTTGCACAGGTGATCAAAGCAGTGGAAGAAGGCTACCGTCTGCCAAGCCCCATGGATTGCCCTGCTGCTCTTTATCAATTAATGCTGGATTGCTGGCAGAAAGACAGAAACAGCAGGCCCAAGTTTGATGAAATAGTCAACATGCTGGACAAGCTGATACGAAACCCAAGTAGTTTGAAGACACTGGTTAATGCATCAAGCAGGTACAAGGCCAGACTTGAGTAATGTTCCTGAGTATATCTGATCAGGTTGATGTCATAAATATTTATCAATTTCTTCATGTATGTATTAATATATGAACCTTTATATCATTAGTTTACTTAATTATAATCTTTCATGTTTCCCTCTTAGAATAAAAAAAAATGATATAAGTAATACCTAAAAGCTCCTTTGCCTAACCCAATTGTATAATATGTTATTGTCACAAAAATACATACACAGCTACAATGAAATAGAATTAGGAAACAGGACTCAAATGTGTTCACTGCATACATACAGTTAGAGAAATGAGATTATTAGAGGCTGAGGAAGCACTTGTGCCTTTTTAACCAGATGTCTAAGTATGATTACACATGAATTCTTTGAATACATTTCAACATAGGCCATTTACATATAATTACATTGTGGCATTCAGTTTGGGAACATTGATGACTGGAAGGACTTGTTTGCCTCTCTACAGAGATATCTGGTTAATCATTTAGTATTCAGTTTGAAGATTTAGAACCTACAAATGAATAATCTTGTGGAAATATGTGTACAAGCCAATAATCATATTTTCTGCTTTTCTGAATTTCAATAGGAATATATTAAAATAATATTCAATATCTGCAAAATGTTTTTTTTCACTTTATCAGAAAAAAAATTTGAAATTTTTCCTCTAATAAAAATCAAGATGGTTCCAAATTAGAAAATTTACTAGATTATTACTTTCAGTGTCTTTGATGACACTGTCTGTTTTTTACAAGAAAGGCAATCGTTCTACTAGATGAATTGGCTGCCTGTTAAAATGAATTGAGTAAAGCTGTTTGCTTATGATGAAGTGGCATAAATTGTATGACCTTGATGCAACAATTACTTACTAGGTAGAAAGTCATTTCAACATGTCAGAAATGAAACTTAAAACTCTGTTGAGGTACTTTGAACTTTCTTAACCTAACAGCTGGAGAATGGGTCTTCTTAGCAATTATTCCATATGCTGTTCCTAAATATCTACTTTCAAATTCCCTATGGTTATGGACAGTATTAAGCCTTTCTCTTGTCTGTTTATTTGAAGGATGTTATTAAGGTGATTGTTATAAACAATGTTCTTAATGTTCTAAATCATATTGATTTTTCTTAATCATCTTTCTTTGCTTTCTTATACATGGTATATAGTATTTTCTTAAATATGGCTTATAGAATTCAGTATATTAGGGTTCTGAATAGATTTAGCTTTATGATTCACTTCCTATCCTTAAATATTAATTCTTCAAGGTATTCGTTCCTGGCTCATTATCCACTCTCACTCATTATTCACTGCCACAAGATATGATGACTTCAATAACAATATAAATAATATTTGATAATCTCAATTTTTTATTTAGTAATCCTGTTTTCTAAACTCTGTTGGACTCTTCCCCATGTTAGTATTCTTTATACAATTTACAAATTATTTAGCTATTTACATAATTGTGATGATTCTGTAATTGAGTACTCAAACTCTATAAAGTTCACCTCTTCCCTTATTTATTTTATCTTTAATACATTTTATAACAGTTTGCTTAATAGCCAGAGATCAGTAAACTATGTCATTAAACAAATATTCAGCTTTTTAGTCTGTATCATGCTCTTTGCTAAGGGGACTGTGAGGGAAAATGAAAACAAGGAAGAGTAAGGACTACTGTGTCATATACTATGCTGAGAAACAATTGAGTAGGGCAAATTTGTAGAAAAAAAATAACGAACTTTACTGTGGACCTGTTGGGTTGATATATGTATGAAAAATACAGAAATTCAAAGCAAACCTTTAGATACACATGAAACCTTAGCTGGAGATTAAAACTTTATAAAATATCAGGGAGCAGTGGTACATACCTGTGATCCCAGCACTGAGGGAGGCAGAGGCAGGTGGGTCTCTGTATGAGGCTAGCCTGGTCTACAAAGTAAGTCCAGGATAGCCAAGGCTGCATAGAGAAACCTTGTCTCAAAACAAGCAAACAAAACCCAAAACAGAAAGCCAAAAACACCTTTAAAAAATGAATATTATTTAATGACATAAAAATAAACAATGAAAACTTAGACTAGTATCTTTCTTTATTTAAAAAAAAATTACTAATTAGTCTATTTTAGGCCCAGATTCATAGTTGACAATAAAAATCTCTCAGGTTTATTTTTATGTTTTCCGCTTGTATTTTGAATTACTTCTCATGCTGGTAATTGTATAATGCCCCTGTAATTTAATTGTAGCCCCAACAATTCATTGTTATTTGATTGAATATTAGTAGAACAAATGAAAAACCACATCGGTTCATACTTCTAATAATTACATTTTGTGTGTTCTAGAGTCTCGACTTTGTTGGCAGAACATGGCTCTCTGGGGTCTGGAGCCTACAGATCGGTAGGTGAATGGCTGGAAGCAATCAAGATGGGTCGGTACACAGAGATCTTCATGGAAAACGGATACAGTTCAATGGACGCTGTGGCTCAGGTGACCTTGGAGTGAGTAGTTTTTCTGATCATTTTTACATAATTGTTGGGTCAAGAAAAGTGTATTCAGACACCCGAGCGGATGCAAACAAGGGAAAGCATTTTACCTGTGTCCGTATGTGGCAGCTTTCAAAGAAGCCTCATCTTTTCAGCCTGCGTTAACAGCTGCATGGTTCATGCTCCTTGTCACCAGTATCTTTGCTTTCTGTGCACCAAACAAACAGTTTGAGTGTTTCGATAATTGGATTCACAGCTCCTTAGCAAAGCACTGGTATTTTGTGCTGTGGAAAAAAAAAAAAAAAAAAAAAGATGTTTTCTTGATAAGTTTTTATACTGGTACTTACGTCATATGAATGTAAATAAAAAAAAAAAAAACTGTAAGCACAATTGGTATGGTTAGTCCTGTGTGACAACAAGAAAAAAAATAAAAGAAAAGAACATTCACACATGACAGCTTTCTACATTGAATACCCAGATAACACCTTAAATAAAGTTTTTCTGGCAGGTATCTCATTTAATATCTACATGGTGCAACTTACATTCTTGAAGTCTGAGAATATGTTAGATCCTGCCTCTGATGTATTGTTATTTGGTACAATCTCAGTGGAACCAGTTGTGCCCTTTTCTGTTTGCACGTTTAAGATACAATTTATCAAATCCTATTAAATAAAAAGTACTAGAGCTAAAATTAAATTATTTAAGGTTGTAAGTTGTTTGTACTTTATTATATACTCTTCATGTGTAATTATTTTAGCAGAAGTATATGTGATTATTTATTGTCCTACTGTGGTTCCATCTAGATTACATCTAAATTAATAATGTTCTAACCTGTGCAGTCATGGTAACTGACTTCAAACGACTTGCAAATCTAAAGGTTAAAATATTGTTATAAAGATTTTAAAATGATAGGATACTCTAAGTCACTAAACCCACTGTCTACACTTCATCACTTCATGGGATATCAATACTGAGAGGTTCTCTAGACATTCGTATCTATCATTCTGGCATTCTAGCTTCACTGAACGCATTGCTCATCCACAGGAAAGGTAACAGGGTACCATTACTTATTAATACTTACTAATCACAGTCTCAGCACTGCCCTCCTTCATACTGATAACTAAACAGACATAAAATCACAACCACTAGGCTTGATTTCTTAGTTTGCTTAAACCCATTATCACGGTCACTACTAAATCACATTTTCTTGGAGACCTGAATGTTTTGCCCGTTATTTCTTTGATGTTTAAGAAAATCATCTGTGCTATATTTAAAACAGTATAATAAAATAATATTCCTGATGATTTAAAACTATTTTTACATAATTACTATTTAATTTTCAGTAAAAATGGTCATTTTAATTTATTAAAGTCATTTGTCATTTTATATTAAAATGATACTGTAGGTATTTCTTCTACCCAATGTCAGATTACTTGTAAATATACAATAAAATTATTTGCATTAAACAATGTCTCTGTTTTTATTTAGAGTATATGATCATATATTTATTTAGATATGTTGCAGTTTTATTCCTTCACAGGTAATTGTTACAAAAATATTCATATATGTATTTATTTATTTTCTAAAATTTATTTTGATGTGTGTATTATCTTCCTGTGAATTGTTTTATTTCTTGGTGACCACAAATTAATAGAAATATGTTTAATATTATTGTACTATATTTTTTACTTTTCCTATTCCTTAAAATTCTTTTCTATTTGCCTCTGTAACCTCCTAAAATCTCTTCAGTATGCTTGTACTTTCTCAACACCTAAGGTTCTCTTCACTCTATATATATTTGTTCTTCTCTTGTTAAACTGCCTCTTTCAATTCATCTTTCTATTCATTTACTGGAGACAGTAAAGTCAAGGAATGTTGTCTTATGTAAATTACTTCAAAGTCCTGGGGTCCTTAGTCATTACCATAAGCCTTATTGGAAATTGGGTATGCTATATCAGTCCCCAAAGAAACTGTTTTCTGTTTTTTGTTTTTTTTAAAGAGCTTGAAATTATTAGGAGCATATTCTGTTGTTTGTGGTGACTTTTTATGACCACGGTGTTTGTAATTGGTAAATTAAGATATATTTCTCAAGATATTATTTAAAGTAAAATACAAAATGAGGAATCATCAGTTGCTTGTTTGGTCCAGGACTATAAAAAAATCATTTGTAAAAGTTCTTTGACCTTAAGAAAGGGAAAAAAAATAAAATTGTGCGTTACTAAAATATAACACAAAATATAACAATTCAGGGACTTGCTCTTTGAATGCGAGACAATAGCCTTGAATACCTAGTCATCACTGAATATCGAAATATCAATTGTATGAATCCTATGAAAGACTACAAAGGGTACTACAACATTATTTGTATAAGCCAATACATTCATAGATATGTAAATTTTTAGGAAAAGTGGTTAAACAACCAAAAAAGAAAATGCAGAAAGTATTATACATAAAGATACACTTTACTGCTTAAAATTTATATGTATATTAGGCTTAGAAATAAAAGCACTGAAAAGTGTTATAACTATAAACACTGGGTAAAAAACACCCTCACGTGAGCCATTTTGTTTTTCCACTATTTCACAGTACATGTATGAGGAATAAAAGTTAAGAACTTGAGTGTCTTGAGGTAAGGTATATTTAATGAGAACAGCTTTTAATTTGAGATGCTTTTGCCTGACGTCTATTTTCTGTCTTCAAACCAGGCTATACTGACTCTATACAGTAATAGTTAAACAACTGTTGTAAAAGAAATGGCATGAATCTCCTCTCATGTATAAGTCCAGTGAGTTACTGTTGACAAGGGAAACTGTGAGCTAGAGGCAAGTAGAAAATTAAAGCCAAAGAATTCAAATAAAGGCACAAACAAAGCTGCTTTGTAGATTTCTTTTTAGGCCAGTGTTGTCAAAACTTGCTTACTCAGAAAATGAGCAAGGTCTGGTGAATTTAAATATTATACCAATTTTATGAAAATTGAATATAGTCTTGTAACAGTTATAAGGATGGTATCTTGTGAGACTTAAAAATAAAAAGCTTTCTAAATCTGGAACCCAAATTTGTGCAGACTAACTCAAGTGCCTTCATTAACCTGTAGAGGAAGTCATTACACATAATTTACTTTGTTCTCAGAGCACGCACAGGAGAGCTAGCTATTCTCTGTGCTCTACGCAACTAAGCTAAAATTCTGAGTCTGTTTTTTTTTTTTAAAATAAAAACAAGGTCTTATCTCTATGAAACAATTGAATACTCTCCTGATAAATATATGTACTTTGCACAAACCAAATATGTGATTATTCAGAATTTAAAATAAGCAAGGAAAAAAAATGGCACCACACGACTCCACAATAAAATTGATACAAGCAAAATTTCATGAAATTGAGTGAAGATTTATTAGTCCTTCATGTCCTTTCTCTTCTCCAGGTAGTGGTAATGGAATTTAATTTTACTGATAGGAATAAAAGGTATATAAAACACAGCAAAGAATGAGCAGTATCTCTCTCTCTGTGTCTCTGTATGAGTCTGTCTGTGTCTCTGTCACTGTCTCTGTCTCTCTTTCCCTCTGTCTTTCTGTCTGTCTGTGTGTCTCTCTCTCACACATACACATACACACACACACAACACACATAAGCATTGTGTTCTGAGTAATTACGAGTAATTAAGTAATCAGACACTTTTTATTCATTCTTTAGTTTGTTCCTCTACTTCATCATCACAATATATTAAGTATTTTTCATTACTTAATATCACAAAATAATGTTTGGAAAGGTTATCCTAGCAGTGGCATCACATTACATTCACAGATCTTCTGAAGCATCACGTCTTGTCAACCTAATGTGGAGTCTTCTACATCCCTTTCTCGTCATGCTTAGCCATGTAAGTCTGTGTTTAAGAGCACTATATCAGTCCTACGTATTGCTCAGATTACAAGTGGTCACAGTGCAATTTGTGTAGTATGTGTTAAGGGGATACATCTAACCTATCACGACATGGCATGTCTTAGATGCACAGTGAAATAAGAAAAACAATGTTTTTTTTTTCATAATCAGAAAATGTTTCTTTCCAAAAATTACTGTAAAGGAGTAGACCCGCTTCATTATTACATACAACGTGGCAATAAAATTAAAAAATCATTCAAATATTTCTGATTATTACTACTAATCTACCTACTTTATATATCAAAGATAAAGTAAAATAGAAACTTATGATTGGGAGGTGGCTTATTGGGTAATGCACTTTCTGAGCAATCACACATTCTGATACCTAACCTCCACATAAAAGGTAGGTGTGGCAGAAAGCGCTTAGAAACCCATCTCTGGGGACCAGAGAGAGGCAACCCCCAGGTGATTCCCTGGGCAGTCAGCCTATATACAGCAACAAGGTCCACGCTCAGTGACAGAACCTGCTTCAGTTAATGAATGAATACGTGGATGTCCATAAGTTACAGAAGTAATTGAGGAAGGCATCCAGATGTCAGTCTTTGGTATCCACATATGTCTGCACAGCTGAGCACATGCTCGCAAACAGGAACACATGTGTAGATGTGCACACTTATGCACACATACATACAAATACTCACAAAGAAAAAGAAACAGAAAAGAAGCTGTTGGAGATAGAAAACGGTCTGAGACAAAACTATTTAAAATATTTTAATGCATTTTTTTTTCACTATTGGAAAAAAGATATTTAAGCTTGAAACAGTTTTCCATAGTATCAACTTAATTCTCCCAGGTAGTCTGAGAACAGGATAAATTGCATAAATTCTTATTCTTTCCCTTTTCCACTGAAAATCGTGTTATTCATATTTATATTATAAAAATTATTAAACTTATTTGTTTTCTCTGTATGATACTTTCATAGGTCATAGAACAACAACTCAGATTTAAATAAATATCATAGAACTCTATAAAGGATGTACATTATTTATTTTAAAAAAGTTAAAGTGTAAAATTCCACATTTTAATTTCATTTTTTCTCTTAGAAAGTAATAAATGAAAGGAAGTGGGAAAGAGGAAGATAGACGACAAAGGAGGGTGAAACAGAATTTCAGTATTCAGGTCATATGCATGAGTGTACAAATTACATTGGATAATAAACTAAGGTGGACAAGCTATTTTATGTGTTTTTAAATAGGAAGATTGGGGCAACTTTTAGTTAAAATCTGTTTATGTGGACTTCTCTAGGCAATATTGTATACAATATTGACATTGTATACTTGTGCTTTTCGACTTGAAGGCTTCTCCACCCGGTTAGTTCCCAAATACTTGTGACAGAGATCTCTTGGATTTATAAAACCTTTAAAGCACAGTAACCAGGCAGGTGTCAACCCTCTAAGTTATTTCCCTATTTCCCTGCTACATAACCTATGTTACTTGCTTCAATCGCTCCTGTCTGGGCTGCTTCTAATCTTAACAGCTATTCTTCACGGCCAAGTGTTCATGGTCCATACTTCCCCATGGTGAGCAACGAGTCAGACTCTAAACACAGGCATAGCCCATTAAAGTTGTTGCATGTGAAAAGTCCCTTTCATTTGAGTTGTAAAATCAATGCACTCTGGATTTTATGTCAATAAAGAGTAAACATAACAGTTATTTTTAAAATTTATTTCAACTGACAACCTGAGTAATTATGCATTATGTAACTTAAACACGTATGTTACTTAAATTAAAAAAAAAAATACCTAAAAGAATCAGAAGTATCACTTAGGGGTTTTCTATGCAGATGACAAATATTCACTTTAGAATATAATTTCTAGTTCATTTAATACTTTTGCTAGAAACTCATTATTTCCTAGCTCAAATTTCTCCTGGCTATGTTCTATACTTTGTTTGTAAACACCTGTAAATATTCGCATTACACAATTTAAAAAAAAAAATATGGAGGAACTAAAGTTGCCCAACAATGGAAACTATGCTAAAATATAGATTCATTTTGAAACTACAGCCAAAGCAACAACAAAACATATTCAATCTTGGGGGAATTTTCCATATTTGATTATATTTACAGAGTTTTCTTTTTCTTATTAAAAAAACCCTAATTTTTGCACTTAATAATGGTTTTTCAAAAATCACACGCCAAGGTAATGGGTAATTATGGTGTGGATTTCACGGGTATATGGTTTGAGTCCTCCCTCATTTGCTTAGTCATGTGCTCTCTAGCCAAATGATTTAAATTCTCCAAATCACTGTCTCATTTTCCATAAAGTAAAATAATAATAATAATAATAATAATAATAATAATAATAATAATAATAAATGAATTCTGTATTGCAGTTAAAGATTTTTCTAGTATTTTTCATCGGTGTCTGAAGAACACTCTCCCTTCCTAATGTAGAAGTCTGGTCCTTTAAGGCCTAGTATCCGTTCAGCAGAAGCCAAGACAGCCGTTAAATCACCTGCAATGCAAAGAATAGCCCTACTAAAGTCATAGAATCATGTAGTCAGTGGGCAAGCCTGAGAATGCCAACTTCACTCTAAAGAAATACAACTAAATTCAACTAACATCTTTTTATGTGTACTTTAATTTTCAATGATCTACTACTGTGGTACCTATAGTGACTCTGTTTCCAAGTGGATTTTTATTGAATTTGAATCTATGTTTTGCTGACGATTCTCTTGCAAAACACATCGGCCATTTTTTTTTTGTCCTGATACTGTGCACTGAGAACTTGTAATTAATGTTTAATATTCTTATTGTGAGAAAGAAATGTAACACTATCATCAGAGGGGCAAGTTGCATTTTGTTTGTCTCTCATTTCATAAAGCTCTGGTAAGAAACCCAGAAAGCATAAAGGAGATGAGAAATATGAAATTATTTTAGTAGATTATTATTTCCGAGGTTGACAAGCAGCCAACACATTTCAGTCTTCTTTACTACATTTTTACCTATCATGATGTCATTGTCTTTAATGATTTTGATGGCTAAGAAAATTAAAGTTAAGATACTGAATGTGAAACACTCCATTATTAGATTAATGTCTTTAGCAAAGTCATTTCTTAAATCTATTATGCTAGAAATATTTGTCATTTGAAATTTTGAATTCTAAGTGCTAATTTTCCCAAGAATTAGTTGGTATAATTTTCTAAATATGTAGATTGTTTGTATTTGTCCAAACACCATTTTGAGGATTATTTACCCTCATAGTCTATAAAATCTTATTTAAAACCCATTGCATTTTTAAATCTATACAAGTTATTATAAATTTAGACATATGAACATTTTTCCATGTATTTCAAAAGTACCATTCTTGGAAATGAGTTCCAAATGATTAAAATGCATCAATTGTGAGTTTATAGGCCACATGGTGAGATGCTGTTTCAGAAACAAAACAAATGGATGAAGAAACACAACCCAAATTAAATAAGAAGAGAAAACAGCAGGGCAGAGAATGTGTCTAAGTGTTAATATAATTTTGACTATAAGAAAATTAATAATGTAAATGTCTTGGAAAGGAATGAGTGAAACCTTTCTACTTCTTATGTTTTTTTGTTTGTTTGTTTGTTTGCTTTTTAAATCTCTGTGCTCAGGCATGTGTGTAAAGAGTGTGTGTGAAGTTGCACAAGTGGTATAGAGGTCATAGACAACCTCTGTTGTTGGTCCTTACCTTACTTGAGAGGGTCTTTTGACTACATTTTGAAAATTATTTACATGGAGTCACTGTCATATTTACCTAGCCTGCAGAACATTTGACTGAACTAGGTGTCAATATATATTCTCAGAACAGTGGTTATCAGCCAGAGGTAGTAGCATACATACCTCAAGAAACAGTTGGCAGCATTTGGACCCACCTTTTTATTTCATACTAAGGAAAGCTATTTACAGTATCTAGTGGGTAGAGGTCAGGGATGTTTCTAAACCTGCTATATTATATACATATCCTAAAATCTGCATGGTGCCAAATTGACTAATTTTAAGAAGAAAATAGCATTTTTTTTTTTTTTTTTTTTTTTTTTTTTTTGTGTGTGTGTGTGTGTTACTCCTTAGCAGCTTAACAGCCAGGTCATTCCAACACACTTCCTAGAATTCTGAAAAACAGGCAGACATTTCCTTATACATGTATACATGACAGGTAAAAATTTAGTGAGTGTATATATGTATGTACACTATGAGAATTCATACTTTAAACCTATCAACTACTTCAGAGCTTCTTTCACATGTCAAATGTTTACATTTAATACCTCACACATATGGGTACCTTGGCACATCCCCAGGAAGGTGTAAGAATAAGGTTATTGTGTAATTCAAATGCTGATTTCTGTACCCACATATGTGGTTGAAATTCTTGTTCTGAGGAACTCCTGTCTCAATGTTGTGTAAACACTGCTCCCCAATTGTCCCGATATGTCAATAAACCAGCTTACAGCCAGTCACCTGAACAAGGGAGAGAACAGGGCTGGACTTTCTGTCAGCCAAGGGAGGAAGAGTCAGAGGAGGAATTAGGAGATTAAGCCACTGGCAGAGGTCCAGGAGATATCAAGGAAGAGGGAAGGGCAGAGAAATTACAAACTGCAAGTATTTCTGGGATGTAAGCTCGGAAATAGCCAGATTAGTTTAGAGGGTTAAGAATGTAGTAATATTTGATATAAATAAATGAATAAATACACAAATAAAACTGGCATTTTGAATCTAAGGTAAAAAAATAACACAAAACACTGTTATAGAGCACTATTGTGCTAACCATTGCCTAAGGTGTATAATCACTGCATGGAATGGATGAGTCTCTTGAAGAGTTCAATCTTTAGTTGGCAAGGTGCAAAATCTTAAAAGTGCATTTTATATTGTTTTAGCAAAAAAAAAAAATGTTTGGTGTTGTTTTAGGATCACATTTTAATACTGTTCAATGAAACTGTACTCATTAAGCTTAATATTTATTAATAAGACATAAACATTCATTTTCACCATTATGTACCATTTAAAAAAATATTGTCATCCATAGGAATGTGTACCTCTTCTTTGAGAGCAAATATGTTTTTTCAAAGAACAATTTTAGAACACACCTTTGAAAACTGGACTGTAAATATCTAAAATTGTCACTATCTTATGGCTAATTCCTGCAAAACATTTTCCCTTTGCCAGCGTGAAATTTTGAGGTGTGCTACAAACTGAGTCAATACATACATCCAATGTGTGCTTTCTTCATGCAGGGATTTGAAGCGCCTGGGAGTGACTCTGGTTGGTCACCAGAAGAAGATCATGAGCAGCCTTCAAGAGCTGAAGGTGCAGCTGGTCAATGGAATGGTGCCAGTGTGACCTCTGCATGTGTCACTTCCTCAAGGGAACAACTCTGCACTTTGTAAACAGCCCTGAGAATTATTTTAACAAACATAGGGGAAAAGGGAAAAGCATAATTTCTATGCCTTTGGTGGCATTTGTCTCAACCATTGAATATATAATCAATATCTTACTAAAACCTCCGTATCTTCTTCCTAATGTCTTCATTTTTCATGAAGTAAATGTAATCTTCAAAGAGCGAAAACATCCTATAATAAAATAGTAACTAAAACCTCCTTCACAACTTGTACAGTATCTTGTACACGGAATATATCAAGGTACAGCACCTTTATAGACTGTTAAGGCAGCCCCTTTCAAAATTTCCAGGGATTTACTTGAAAGGAAAAGTTTTAAAGCCATGTGTGGGCTAAGAAAAGCTGCATTTTACTGACGTTTACTTCATCTTAATTGTCTACAGAAGTGTATTAAAGAGCAATATGATTAGAGTATTCCTTAGATGCAGTTTGTAATTTAAAATGCAATTACGTGTTGTTAAGTTATAGAAAATAGTTTATAAACATGTTGCTTGGTCAAGAAAAAGTTCAATACAGGGTGTATATTTATTTTTCTGTGTTATATCATTTACTTTCAGTCGCTCTTCTAGAGAGTGTTAGGTAATAAATATGTATATACTGTATAGTTTTCATTATGCCTGGGAATTGACTTACATTGGAAGTGTGCGTGTGTTTGTGTGTGTGTGTGTGTGTGTGTGTGAATATGTATAAGATATTGTTCTGCTTGCCTCTTTGATAGCGTTTCAATTTTCACAGCATATAGAAAGAATGTTCTAGACTATAATATGAATAAGAGAAATAGGAAATGGTAGACCAAATTCCAACCCAAGTTGGTATCTTTTTCTCTCATTTTGAAAGCAACTAATTAGGTTTTTATTTTGTAAACAGCTAATGCCTCTACATCATATTTCCTTTGGAGTTTAACAATCACTTTGTACCTGTGACAAAGAAGTTCTACCCTTCTCTGAAATTCCAACTTTCTAGGTTCCCGAAAAGATCTTCTCAAGCAAAGTTGACGTAAAGGGTACACCTCTGTGGGAAGTAGAGATATTTGACTGTGCTGGCTTCTGTTAACATTCAATCCAGGTGGAGGGCGCTCAGCATCCCCCGAGTTCTCAGCCACTGTAATCATTCCCACTGTTACTCACTTATGGAGCCTTGGATACAAAGAAAGCAGTGAAAAATGATCTTTTATTATTCATTAATAACTATTTGTGAACTTTGTAGTTGCATTTTGTCCTCCATTTTACAACGGTGACTATAATTGGAAGAACCAATATAAACTATTTAAACATTAGACTTGTTCAGAAGTATAATGTAGTCCTTAAGTATATTTTATATACTGTATCAGCAAGGGGCTGAGATTCATGATAAAGTTCATGAAGTTTATTGAAATGATCACGAAAGTGAGCATAACAGACAGGTGGACAATATTTTATGTCATTACACGGTATAAAATCAGGAGAATGATTTAAGATATTCGAGGAGCAGAGAACTTAGATGAGGCCTTTCACTATTGCACTAGCCAAAGCTTGTGAGGGGAGTGAGATCTGCAGGGAGATACTAGCTTGTCTGTGAGTAGTTCTCTTCTCTCTTTTAAGCCTACGTTTCACTTCAATATTAACTTGTGTAAAAAACACAATAGTGAAATTTCTTTCTTTCTTTCCTTCCTTCCTTCCTTCCTTCCTTCCTTCCTTCCTTCCTTCCTTCCTTCCTTCCTTCCTTCCTTCCTTTCTTTCTTTCTTTCTTTCTTTCTTTCTTTCTTTCTTTCTTCATGTCTCATCCCCCTTTAAAGGATGAAATAGCTGTTTGCTGAAGAATAAGGAAAGATCAAAACTACAAGAAAGGGTGTGAAGCATCTAAATTTTTTTTTATATATTAAACATTGATGAGTCCCTTTAAGAGATACTATGGGCCCACACTCTATACTCAATACATCTCTACAAGTTTAGTGAAATTTTAAGAAAATATTAAGAGAAGTAATCTTATACTGTCTTGATAAAAATCATAGATAAATATAATCATTATGAGAGATGCATTTCTATGTTTAAACTAACAAGCCTATTTGAATCTATGTGATAAAGAAGAACTGGGAATGTCAAACCAAACAAACAACAATAACAAAAAAAAAAAAAAAAACACAATGTAGAACTTGTACAAGCCATAACTCTATGGACAGAAATAAAAATACATTCTAAATTGTTTCCAAATTTGTATGATCATAGATTATTGGCAGGTGACATATGCACAAGTGACTGGCTGTTGGAGTGATCTCAGCTTTATCTCAATAGAATATAGATTAATTTTAATCAAATTTACGTTTCATTTTCAATTCAAATGTCACATTTGGAAGGTAATTTAGAAGGAAAGCTTAACAGCCACATTGCTTTCATCCATATCTCAATTTGATTGAGAGTTTCTAAAGAATATCAACATGATATTAGAAGAAATAGACTTTTAAATTATATGTGCTCTGCCCTCCCCACCAATGAGAAAAGATTGCCTTTCTAAAATATTTGTTCAGCATTGGATATGTCACCAATTGAAAAGTGCCAATCTCATCTATAAATGTGAGAAATGGATCAGGGAGAGGAGCCTGCTCTCGTGAAATGTAGTGAGCCTGCCACTCAGCACAGGACTTGCTAAATCCTGATGGTGTGAATTCTTCTCCTGTGTGTTTTTTTCCTTACCCATTGACTCCCCAAAATAAATCATCTTCTATAGTCTTCACATATGCAACTGATTTGTAAAAATGATACATAACTGTATTGTAACAAGGTACAACAAGGAATTGTTCCGAACTGACTGGTTCTACTTGAAGTCATTCAGTTACCACGGTTATCAAGCATATTGTACACCTAGTCATGCCATTCATTAGCATGAGCTCTGTAAAAAAAAAAAAAAAAAAAAAAAAATACTCTCTTTGAAATGTATTAATTATATGTGTAATGTAAACATACTGATTCTCACCATTTAAAATATTGTGATGTGTATGTATTTTAATTCCTGTATTTTATTACCAAGCCAGTGTTTTAAAGTAATAGATTCATTGTACAATTTACATAGAAATATTTTATTGAAACTTAAATGTGTCTAGAATTATTCATTTTGGAATTGTCACAAGTAATGCAAGCTACCCTTAGCTCTGTTTATAAAACAGTCTTATCCACTATGTAATAAAAGAGATAACTTCACCTCTCACCTTAAAGAGGATCTGTCACTATGAGTTGAGCACTTACGCATTTGCATGTCTGCTAGTTGGATTCTACGTGGAAGTGAAAGGCAGTAAAGAAGATATTTGTTCACCCATTGAAGTGGGTTTTCAGAAGCACAATAAGAAATATTTACCTTTGGAAGGTGTTTTGGCTGTAATGGTTGGTACAGTAAATGGCAAAGAATGCCGGGCGTTAGGCTTAGAGGTATTTGATGTTGCATATAGTAGAAAATATCTCTTATTTTGTTCTTTCTAAAAATTAGGAGGGAAAATTAAATGTGATAATAAATTGTCTTTGTTTAAAATTGCCAGATGTTTAACCTCAATGTACATAAGAAGTAGGGACAATATGATGGTGATGATACTAAGGAATGAATGAACAGAATCAAATGATAGCTTTGTTTGAAATTTTATAGTTGAATAAGTCATGATTTTTTTTTTCAGTGCTGTAGCACAGCTGGTTACATTGAATATTTTTTCTCCATTATGCAGTTAATTACATATTAATGTATCAGGAAAAATAGATAAAACTTTCTACTCATTTCTTGTTAATTTATGAATCTTTTCACACACAATGATTGAATGTTCTTATTCAGAATGACCACGTAATTGTCGCATAGAAGAAGCTGCTATTTCTTCTAAAAATGTCTATTTATAATAACTGGATTCAAATTCTTTTTTTCAATGTGAATGGAAAAAAATGGAGTTGGCAAAAATATGTCTTATCTTTGAAAGTTGGGTGCTATATTCATTAAAGTTTGAGTGGTCAACTATTTGTGAATATTTAGACTACTGTAGTTTTACAATTGATTATTTAAAAGAATGTATATGTATACTGAATTTGTAATTGTCTGAAACTAAAGTCAGACTCTGTCCTTTGTTAATATGTTTATCAAATCCATTCAGGTTCAGGCAGGTCTGAGACATTTGTGCAGCCAAACTGATTCTTTGATAGGCATCAGGATATCTTGTAGCCCTGCTTGAGAGTGAATTCAAGGAAGAATGAACATTTCTTTATATTGACTCCCATTTGCATATCTGCGTGTTTTCAGTTTGTGTACATGTTTTTGTAGTGTAAGATATTAAATTTTATATTTTTTTAGAAAATAAAAAAAACTTTTGAATATAGTAAAATCAAATTGTCCTACTTGATCTCTCACACGATTTTAAAATTTTAGCCCTTTCCATAAGGATTTTTGTTCTGAGAAAACATTTTACTTTCTACATTATAAAAATGATTAAGTCATAAAGATGTAAGGTTATCTAAGTTGTAAAGATGATCATATGCGTATTTCACAAAGGCGTATTCCTGACTATGCATTCAAAGAATTCTGGCAAACAGAGAACATGCCTTCATGGTAATGATGTAATACAACATACACTTGAAAACAATTTATAATAAAACACAAACCACAACAAAGAAATAAATAGAAAGGAGAAATTATGTGCTATTTGTACACCCTCCCAAGGAGACATTTTTGTGACTGACATTACCCAGACACTATCTCATCACTTGGCTCTGCCATCTGCTCTGCTATCATAGTTCAAGAAGAGATCATTGCAACAAGAAGGGGATTAAAAAAGCAAGGCTCCTTATTATTTGTAAGTATTATATCATAGTGATCTTTTAAAAATGGAAAGAAACATCTCTATTCTAGGGATTGAATCATGTTTGTAGTTGTTGCATTTACAACATAGAAAATGATACACTATTGTTATAGAATAATCATAAGTAGTGCTGATGTTTAAGACTCAACTATAACTAGGATTTTGTTTACTGTTTCAATATTTATTCTCATATTTCTCAGAACTCTTTGTCATTTACACTTTCCCTGTTCTTACTATGATACAGAATTAAAGATACTATTTAAAACAATTTTTCAATCTTAAGTTCACTCCCGCCAAAAATCAGAGTAATTAGGTAGCAAGTATTTAATGAAAACATATTCTTCATTGGAAATGTTCATGCTAAACTTTAAGATGCATACTCATAACCTAAGTTATATCCAGGGCTTTCTTTGTACACTGCAGACAAAAGGCATGCATGCACACACACGCACACTCAAACAGACACACATCGTACACATAT